GTGTGTGTGTGTGTGTGTGTGTTGGCATGCTACTCCTGGATAATCAGGGTTGTCCATCTTCAAAGTCAGTCTGTATAATTTCCTCAGGATTGGCTTCTCTTAATTTCTCTGAAGCTTGTGCAATATTTTCTAGAATCTGACAATAACTCATTATTTTCTTGGTTGCTTGCCACTTTAATACATAATGCCTAAAAATCTAGAGGGCTCACTGCAGCATTATTATTTTATTTTTGTGAAAGCCAGGATGAACTTCATGGGTATGGGTGTCCAGGCCAAGTTTTCATGAAGACCTACCATAAACAATAGCATGGGGAATATACGCCTAGATAAGGAAGTAGATGGTAGAGAGCATCAAGGACAATGCAAAGCTTTCATGAAGTCCAGCAGATCATATTAGGATAGTAATATAACAATATAAAATCCTGTATGCTGGATGAATGGAGGAAAAGTGCTGTTGGAAGGAGGGATGGCAAGAAAAAACAATGCCCTGGAAAAGGACTGATTTAGGCACAAAAAACCTGAGTGAGCAATAGAAAGTCCAAGATGCTACAGTCACCTGCTCTGAAGTTTCCATTGATCATGGATATATTATTTGAGAGCGGGCAGGCAGAAATGGGCAGAAAATGATAACAAAGATATCATTGAAATATGATATGAAAAGCCAGATCCTGTTTTCTAAAAGTATAAATTACTGGTGTATGCATGTCTGATTTGTTTGTGTGTTAAGTGTTAAAGATAATTTTTGAAAGAGTCCAGATCATATATTTTGACTTCAGTGCAAAACATCATTTAAAAATGGTAAATGCTGTTTAAGTGTCCAATTTACAAAGCTAACTGGTTTTTTTAAGCCACTGTTCATTGAAAAAAATCACTGAAGACCCATTTGCCTTTTGAAACAAAATGGCTCTCAAAATGGTTTAAAGGCTTAAAGAAAACGACTACAAAATTCACAGCATCAAACGGGGGGGGGGGGGTTGCTGATTTTCTAGAATATTGGTGAAAATCTAGATATTATTCTCAGTCCATAAGAGAAAAACAATGGCTTTTGCACAGAAGAACATAACAGGATGTTTTCTCCCTTTCATGAATTCTGTTTTGGTGTGCCGATGAATTGGGGTGGGGGGTGGGGAGAAGAGGGGAGAGAAATTAAAAGAAAGATCTTATATTTTGATAGCTCTTTAAGCATTTTAATTATAGTTCCTTGTATAGAAACAGTTTGACCTTCCCCTGCTCAGCTGAAATAACAAATCAAGGAGATCCATGTAATGCAGTGCAAGTAAGCTGGAAGTTAAGAGGCCCAGGGGAACAACTCTGCGTAAACCCTCCTGCCAAAGGGAGAGAGAATGAGTTGCCTTCAGGTAAGGTTTGCCTTCCTCAATCTTCCTTCATTCCTCTATATGTGAATTGAGACAAAAATCAAAACTGAAAGCTGCCTTTGAACCCAAGGGCTGATTTGAGAAAAAGTGGATCCTCATTGTAGGCTGCAACTGGTCCCACAAACACATCTGCCCTGGACTAAACTAAAGGATTGTTTTCTGTACAAAAGTATGTGTTATTCAAACAAGAGATAGAGAAAATCCATTTCTAGGCTTTCTTTGAAAGCTTCCTTTTTCTAACTTGGTGGTGAGTGGGGAGAAGGAGGGCATTGAAGTTGGGGGCGCAGGGGCATGCGTGCAAGCCCCATGGAATTTGCACCGCCATCTTCTAACCCCCACTTGTAGCTCTCACAGGCCTGGCTGCTGAGTGCAAGACATACAGCATGGAGATTTTAGCATAATCCTTCCAACACTGGGACTGGATTAAAGTCTTTGCAAAATTCTCGAGGGGGAAGGGAAGGCGGAGGAAGATCTATTTTGCCAGGCTTACTGCTATAAATTACAAGTTAAAACAGACCTTCCTTACTGCGGCCTAAAATCCTCCTTGGTTACAAATGTCCCTGGCCAGCTCTAATGGTAAGGAAGTGATTTTTGCTTTCTCTGTTTTTTTTTCCCCACTGTGCCACACTATTGGGAATTAATTCTCTCTCTTTTTCTTTCTCTCTCTCCTCTGCTCCAGAAATCTGCTTCTTTCTACTGTGCTAGGAAATATAACATTGTTAATACTGGACAAAAAGCATTTTTTTCCTTGCAAATCGAGAATTTTCTCCCTGAATAATTTCCTGGAAGGTTTATTACTATTTTAGATGTTTTGGGGTTTGAGAATTTCAAGTTAGGGTAGTCAACATAAAGTATGATAATGAGCATCAGGCCTACAAAATTGGACTATTATGCCCTGGTCTTGGTTACACCAAGATTCCCTTTAAAAAAAAATTATGTGGGAAGCTCAGGCAAAAGATCATGTGTGATAGGATATATCATATAATAAACCTATGAGCTGGCATCTTTCTCATGTGCTCAACTGCACTGCTGTAGGTCAAATTTAAAGAAATTGAGCATTTTCTGCTTCAGAGACTTCAAAAGAGAAGGCAGTGAAAGGGCACTAAAAGTTTGCTTATTTAAAAAGACACCATGATTGAAGAATAAAATATCTTCTTTAATGGCTTCCTACTTACCTACATGAAGATGCTTTGATTATTATTTTGTTATTGATGATTAAATATTCCAAATAATATAAATTTTCTAACAAAAATATCATATCGTTAAAGGCAAGATGGGAATAAAGAAGAGTAGGACAAAGCCATTTAATTGCTAAAGTAAAGAGGCTTTACAGTGGCAGAATAGAAGAAAGGAAGAACCTAGGATTCCTTATTTCTGTAGGGTTGCCCAGTAGAAAAGGAACGCACACAGCAGACAGTGTGTGTAAAATTATATCCTGAAAAGAATTACATTTTGAAAAAAAGGCTTATTTAATATCTTGTGCTGAGAGAGAAAAATGAGGAGTTGGGTGAAGTCAGTAAAATCACAGACACTGGCTGCCAATCTCATTTACAGTGTAAGGCTTCACGGGGAGGGTCCGGAAGTGTGAAAACTTTCTAAGTTTCCATTTATTTTCTCTAAATGTGTTTGTGGCAGACTGGGGTCAAGCATAAATATTGCAAGATTGTCTCATTTGGACAGCTTGCCTTTTCATGTTAACTAGAGGAAGAAAAACTCAGAAGTTTCTAATGTAGACTTCTCATAGAATGCTGGCCAGTGACCTTTTCAAATGGGCAGCCCAGAAACACTGAATCACCACCACCTTCAATCCAGGGCACATCCCTGCCATCGTTTCCAAGTTCCCAGGTTCCAAAAATGAACCACCTCATATTTTCAAGCATACATTAAAAAGGTAAAGAGCATTGGGGGACTATCCTCAGGGCTTCTTGTCCCAAACAAAAAGAGGGGGCTGTGCAGCTGTGTTTTTCTCACAAGGAAGGCACAGAGGCATCACTCACAATTGCCTAGACAATCTGCAGTTTCCTTTGTCTGCTCTTAATTTGCAAGCTCCTGCCCCAAGATTGGATGTATTCATTTTCTTGGAAGAGCTTTGGAATCTCTTTCCCTCCTCCCCAACCACAAAAAATGCCATCTTAAATTCTGGACCTTCTTTCTTTCTTTCCTTCCTTCCTTCCTTCCTTCCTTCCTTCCTTCCTTCCTTCCTTCCTTCCTTCCTTCCT